AAAACCTCACAGCTTGTATATTACAAAATGCAGCCTCTCTGCAGTGGAAGGTAGACTGGATGATCAAACACATGCTTACATAAAGAACATATTCTTATTTTGTCATTGTGTGTTATGTACCTCATATGTCTGTGACTACACCCTACCAGTGATCAGGCTCCAAAATCTGCCTAACTAATGTTAGTTCCATATTACAGGCCCTATACACCTGGGAGAGCTAATAACTTTACATAAAGCACAATAATAGAAATATTCATATGTGGCTAATTTACTCCACTTCTATTCAAGCAGAGTTGCAATAAAATGGTGTGCACACAGTAATCCTAATGCTGTGAGGATAACTTATTTTTTTTATTACAGATGTCAATTAAAATAGACTAATCTGTTATAAAAGAGGAAGCTCTGCAAATTAATAAGATACAGTACTGTATGTATACTATACAGACATATATTTATAGTAAATATTAATCTATATAATGATGATTGTGTACACTTTCAAAAGGAATGCTTGGGAATAGGAGCAGTGCAAATGTGTTACTTTTTGGTTCCAGAGAACTGAAGGTACACATGGAACATGCATCTCTCAGCATTGAATCAATGCTTTCCTATCGGATTTTACTGACACTGGATGCTTTAATGCAAAGCGTGAGGGCTTCCAGCGTCTGGCAACACAGTCAGGTAAACTCCCGGAATCGCTTCCAGTGGTTGTCTGGTAGACCGCCACTAGAAGGTGTCGAAATACTGCAATGTGAACATGAGCTGAAGTAATCTGGGTGGCTATAGTGTCCCATTAAACAATAACCATTCTTGTGAAGGAACAAAGGTGAAATATAAACTTTAAGAGTTATTACATTTTGGTTGGCCATTGGATTGATTAAATAGTGTATCCTTGGGGTCTGAAGTGTGAGAGATTCCCAGCACAATGTGAATCAAGGAGAAAATTCACAAAAGTTGGATAGCAGGACATTGTAAGTAGATGCTAGAACCAACAAAACCTTAGAGAAATGCTGGAGGTCATAGAGTACATTTGACCTATGTTAGTTGGGTTCATAATACCAGCAACTTCTGTTTGTTTAGTTTTTTTATTTTATGTGCATTTTCTTTGCTAAGGATGCATGAAAAGCTATAGATTTGCTCTGATCTAGATAGAGGTTATCACCTAGTTTATCCAATTTTAAGCCTGTTTTTCATTCAGGATCTTCTAACATGAGCACAGGCAAGTGAATGTGCATCAATATATTTCCTTCCAACAGTTCTGTTTATGATCCTGACCAGGAATAATCTATATACTGTTGGGAGTACGTGCTTTCTAAATCTGATCTGTTAAGGTAGCAAGACTCCGACTGACAAAGGGAAACCTGTTCTTGTCTTCTAGGGCTACAGGGTGATTGATGAAAAAGATCCTGGAGATAATTTGGAAAGCGAGTCAGCCATTTGTGAGAGGGTAAAAGCCTGGTGCTGTTCAACTACACCTGAGCCAGCCATCTGTGGAATAAGTCGTATCTGGGTGTTTTCAATGATGAGGCGGAGGAAAATTGCCTCCAGGATGCTTGAGTGTTTAAGGTAAGGATGTTTGAAACCATATACATGTCAAATGTCAGCTAAGCTTACTTTTGTACTGCAGGTCTTCACAGCACAGAATACATTGTAACGGTAGACTTCTCCAATGCATGTTTTTTTTTTTTTTGATCAGGATATAAAAACTATAATAAAGGCACCCTTTGTAATTTACCGCTTTTAAAAGAATACATTGATAAATAGAGTTGTCCAGAACCAACCAAAATGTGTTCCCAAAAGGTGAGTTTCCAAGCAAATCCATCATATGATTATTAAGTCATGACATGGTTTTAGTTTTAGAGTATGAGATAACTGGTAGTTTACTGCACAAAATATTTAGTGTTTTAGACTAGACCAGGCCTCTCATTTGTTCCAGAGTGACAACGGTTTGACTGGAGGATGCAGTGCCCAATAAATGTCCAGCAGAGTAGATGTGTGAAATAGTATTGCGTATATTTATTTTTATTAGATAGAGAAATCTAGGCTGATTGACCTAATCTCTAATAATAAAAATTAACTGCATTTTCTGAGATTCCTGTAGTTATTATAGTTTATTATAGTTTAAGATTGAAATAAGTAGTGTCTATAGATATTTTTACTAGTAGAGAACATACTTTCTCATCATTGTCCTTATTTGCTATATATATTCCATTGCAACCTACTTTGTGAGAGTATTGTCTCTTTAATTTAGACTTTTTGGCGGTATTTTATCATATTTAACATTGCTAATATCTTATCTATTGCAGAAATCATTTCATATATGGCTCTTATCTGAGTAAAGAAGAAATTGCATTTTCGGACCCAACACCAGATGGCAAACTGTTTGCAACACATTATTGTGGCACCAGTCAGTTTCTTGTGTACAATTTTATCAATGGACAGAATCCGATGAGTTGAAGCAAGGACTTCACAGCTGAAATAGTTCACAGAGCCCTGTTTATTTTTAGTATTCTCCTAAAAGTGAACTCAGGATATGAACACCCAAAGGGCTGTTCGGTTTTAATAAAACTGGAAAAAAGATTCAGAAAAAAGCTTAATTTTTTTTAAGCAAATATTTTGCTATCTTTTTTTTCAACAGATTCTAGTTTAAGTATTTTCTACACACTAGTCTTGTATCATGCAGCATATTGTTTTGTTTGCAGCAGACTAAACTGTAAAAATAGAAGCCTTGATGATAAGTGTAAACTGAAGACCTTTTATTTTTGGTATATACAAGTACAGCTGCTTATGTGTGGTGACCACTTTTTTTTTTTTTTGTCTGTTGAGTGCCAGACAGTAGGGCTTGTGCTGACACTCTGCTTAAGGTATATCCTGCATAATTTATGCCAGTCTTGTCATAAAACTTTAAATTGTACAATCATAGTCCTCTTGATACAACATTGGTTTGCAGTGAACAATTTAACCTGCAAGTGTGGAATTTTTAAATGTTTTCTTCTTCTTCCTACCACGATCTATAGGAGTCCTAACATCATTATGTTCAGATTTCCCCTTTAAACCACCCATTTAGAGAATGTCAGCTTGTAATATCAGATGGCATGTGTGACATAGTGAAGTTCAGTTCCTGGAGATGGTTCTGTGGTCACAAAGTGATTTTATTCCTTTACTGGTCAGCAAACGTTTCACGACTACCCTAAATAGTTTTTAGGGATATAATGTATGCATTGTCTTGTAATAAGTGTTTTTCATTTGCACATGAGAAACTGGTAGCTCCACTGTCTGAAATGTTACTTTTAGCAGCATTGTTCAATTCCTAGTTCTGTGCTGTGTATATACCTTTTTAAAGACTTCAGTGTGAGACTTGTCTAAGATTCAGCGACTCTTGTTTTAAGAGTTAATACTGTATGTTCATAAACTGCTGTGGCCTTTCTGTAAATGTGTAGAATATGAATAAAAAGTTGCCTTTTTAAAAGAAAATAAAATTCCCCTGATATTGTAAAACTCTCAAATGTCCACATATGCCACTCTGTCCAATTGTTTAGTGGGCTTGAAAGAGATTTAAAGGTACCCTATAGTAACCAGAATATCTACAGCTTGATATAGTTGTTCTGGTGTCTATAGTATAGAAAAGGTATTGTTCCTTTAAAATAATCTACTGACATGTATATAGCTTTAGTGTACTTTGATATTGGAAGTAGCAGTAGTTTAAAAACTACAACAGCAGAAGTGCAATACATTATCCTTATTCAGCAACTGAGTCTGCACTTGTGATATAGTAAGTACCTCTGTATGAAACTTCTTCAGACCTCATATAGCCTGTGTAATAAACATTTGTTTAACTCTGGGGTTTCTCTAAAGCTTTACATAAAATACCTAGAGGTTCTAGCCATGATAGCAGATATCTTTAATCTCCACCCAGTCGGGACACATCTACTTCTCAAGTCTTTATTTTCATTTGTCACTTAATTCTGCATCTTGTCACATTGATTTGACATATTGGTGCAGGATAGTTAAAATTTAAGGTACAAGGATGGAGGAAGCTAAAATTGATTGGAGAGGGGTGCACTTGCACTCTGAGCTCTGTGCTGCAGTAATAAACAAATACTATTACATTTTTATAAATCTTTAGTAAACGTCTATAACTTTAAGAGGTCTTGGAACTGTGCTGTAGTAAAAAAAAAAAAAAGTTACATTCTTTTGAAACTTTGAGTTACTGACTTAACATCGTGAAAGTATATATGGTTGATATGAAGTTAAAGGGACACTATAGTCCCCAAAACAACTTTAGCTTTATGACGCAGTTTTGGTGTATAGATCATGCCCCTGCAGTCTCACTTCTTTCAATTCTCTGCCATTTAGGAACTAAATCACTTTGCTTATGCAGCCCAGTCACACCTCCCTGCATATTACTTACACTACCTTTCTAAACACTGCCTGTAAAAAGTCATCTAATTGTTATACTTCCTTATTGCAAATTCTGTTTAATTTAGAATTTCATATCCCCTGCTCAGTTAGTAGCTCGCTTAGACCCTGCAATAGCCTCCTGTGAATAAAGTTCAATTTACAGAGCAGGAGACAAAAATGTTTAAAGTAAGTTACATCTGATTAAAAATGAAACCATTTTGTTTTTATGCAGGCTCTTAGTCACAGTCAGGGGAGGTGTGGCAAGGGCTGCATAAACAGAAACAAACGTGATTAAACTCCTAAATGGCAATGAATTATGCAGTGAAAATTCATAGGCATGATCTAGACACTAAATTTGCTTCATTAAGCTAAAGTTATTTTGGTGACTATAGTGGCCCTTTAAGTAGGTGATAGTAACATGGTATAACCCAAAAATAATTCTCTTAATCATCATAGAGGCTTTAGGCTTATGTCCCATAAATGGTACACTACACTACAGGAGTAATGGGGAACCAGAGTAACAAAATAAAAAGTGGAAGAAACTGTTCTTGCATACCTTGCTTTACTATATTATTTTATACCCAATGTTCCTGCTCTTTATTGCCCCTCATCACTGCTTGGGGGTTACTGCTGCCACTCCACACTGGTGACCTTGCTAATATGCTATCTGCTTACATCAGCCTGTGCCACTTTGAGGAACTGTACACTGATGCTTGCTCATCTGTTGCGGTCGCCTTGCAGTCCCACTGACTCATCCTGCTTAATAGCCTTGTGGTGGCAGAGCTCCTCAGGCACTGCAGCTCATCCCCTGGACTCCATCTCTCAATAGGGGCACACTTAAAAAGAGCCCTGTTGCTTGCCAGATATCCTGTTTGTTTATACCTAGGCAGTTTTTGCTTAGTTTTCATTTTGTCTACACCATGCTCCTGCCCTAACACAGACTGGTTTTACATTGCTCACATTGATATCTGATACGTTGCCTAACGTTCCTAACCAGTCCTGAGTGGTTGACAGCGATTCACCTACCAACCACACTCCCAGAAACTCCATCCGGCGGTTCTTTCTTGCTCTCTCTTTCACTCTTGGCTTCTCTACTTTTCCCCCATGCTCACTACCTATTCTCCTTAGGCCATTCTTATCTTGTTTCACAAAACGTATATTTAGCATAGTCGTCCACCACTGACAACAATCCAGCACGGTATGCTTGACACCCTGTCTCTTTTTCTCTTTGCCTTCTAACATTATATTCACAAAGATTTGCTCTTAACATCAGGCCCCTCTATTCTAACACCTTGCATTTCCTTACCTATCTTTGCTCCACCACCATGGATAAGTTAATTGACAAAACCCCATCCAAGAGAACACAAGGAAAAACTCAAAGACCCTATACCAGCCTCTACTCCTCATTGCTCACCGACTGGGTCAGACACAGATGAGGCACCCTTTTAAATGAGCTCCACTACTAACCTAATTTCACAACAGGCCTCAGAAACCGCTCGGGAGGTTTCCAACCTACTTAAACCGATATTTGAATCTCAATTTAAGGACGTCACAGAATCAATAGATTGTGCAGTTGATCTTCTCCAAGCTCACTCTTCTCAACTGCTGGAAACAAGACAGAGTACTATGGAGGATGAGGTACACCAGTTACAAACCACGATTCGTCAACAACATTACACTCTGACCTCTCTACAGGACAAGCTGGATGACCTAGAAAACCAAAGCAGATGGAACAATCTCAGATTTGTTGACTTACTGGAATCAGTAAAGTCTGGAAATATTATTCCCACTCTCCAGTCCTGGCTATTGGACAACTTGCAACCACCTCTGACTCTCCTCCCATCATTGAATGAGTTCACAGAATAGGCCCAGAAAAATCTGGCAACAGAACATGATCAAAATATATCATAACTACATTTTCTAATTTCCATAATACGATTTGCATCCTCACAGCTTACAAAAACCTAGACCTGCCTACATATCAAAGTAATAGAATTCTGATCTTTAAAGATGATTCCTCAAAGGTTACTCAATGACGCAAGGCATTCACGCCCATCTGTTCAACACTGCACAAGAAAGTTGCTCTTCTCAACACTATGTCTCCAAATTGCTAATAGAAAACAGCACAACTTCAGTGACTGAGGCTTCTGAATTTCTACAAGATGTCCTGCCAGATTGGGATAGCGCTTCTCCTGGCCCATTAACCAGCCCCTTGCTTGCCCACAAAGCGCAGTGATGTCTTTGTTATCCTTACTTGGATTACTGGGCATGTGCATAGCGAACATTTTCGGTTCGCCATGCCATTACGAAACTCGGGATTTTCGCAATTCGGGACTTCGGCAATTTAACACTTCGGAAATTCAGTCACTTCGACACTTTGGAATTTCGGGACTTCTATTGCAGCCGCTTAGTAGATAACTCCCTAATACCGTGGGAATTAGGGAGTTATCTACCAAAAGGCTGAAAGACCTAAATTGGTCTTTCAGCCAAATTTACTAATACTAAGTAAAAATTACTTAGTATTAGTAAATTTTGCCCCTACTCGCTATACCGCAAGTAGGGGCATGTCTAGTAAACAGTGAGCAGCCTGTGGCTGCTCACTGTTTAAAAAAAATAAAATAATAATACCTACCTGAGCGGCGGGTGGGGGCCCTAAAGTAAAATGATGGGGGGACCTATTGTCCTACCCCCCCGGCCCCTACCTCTGAGCGGTAAGTTCGGGCCCTAAATACCAATAGGGGGGGACCTATTGTCCTTCCCCCCGGCCCCCACCCTCGAGTGGCAGGTGGGGGCCCTAAAAAAAATGTTTTCCCGGTGACGACAGAGATTATACATTCTATTCTCCAGTTCCTTCTCTCGAATTGATATGTTCCTGGTTACCCCAACAGTTTTACCACTTGTCACCTGCTCTACTATGGAGACAATCACCGTCTCGGACTACGCACCTATCATGCTCCTTATCACACAGCCCTCACAGCCATTTACTGCACACTGGCATTTCCCAGTGTATCTCACTAAAAATCCATCTTTCATGGATCATTTACAATAAGCTATTC